ACTACAGCCATAATGCCACATACATGTACATGTACATGATTGTAGTTGGATAGACAATGCACGCATGCATGCAGACGCGCAGAATGTTTCAGTTCTGTTTTGTTGTCTCGCTATTGTCCGGACGAAGCCCTTTAAACTTCTTCATGGATCCATGAAGAAGAAATAGCAACATCCATGAGTGGAAACGATAATAGGGCACAGTTCATATTGGCAAAAGTTCGAGTGTCTCTCATAGATTGTCATAGTCATTACAATAACAATAGTATAGAATTCGCAGTAGATGTACATGAACACCGTCACGACTATGTATACTGTTGTAATTATTATCATAATTCATTTTGGTCAAGTGTCATTGTAGCTACATTGTAGCTACATGTACATGGTGTCACTACAAATACAAGTATTGGTACTGATTTATAGTTTGTTCGTGCCAACACAAAACACCATAGAATACTGAAAATGTGCTAATGGTCACATTCATGAATCTTTTCAAGGCAAATTTGTTTCTCTGAGTATGGCCAATTCTGGCATCGGACAGATCCTAACGAGTTGTAGCTTATTGTTTGGGGTAGACCCTAGCTGACGATTCAAACGCATTAATACCAAGAGTACAGTCATGAACCGGATGTAATCGAAAAGTGACCACGTGTAAGATTTGACTGAGAATGAGATATACTGTCTTGCTAGAGGAGACGAGATGCACGTTGAAGTCATGCACGGCACGAGCAACACGCCAACAGCAAATTTGCTAAGCACATGGTTGATCAAGGCTGGATGTCCATATCATGGGATTTAGGGAAGGTGGGTCCGGGAGCGTCCGAGAACCGTTTCACTTTTTGCCTGCATAATACTGTGGGCGATAGTCTGGGTTAGAGTTTTGTGGTGGCTGCTGCTGTTGTCCCGCCTGTCCCGCCTGTCCCGCTTGTCCTTGTTGCTCTTGTTGTTGGCGCTGTTGTGCCATCATCATGTAAGCAGAAATCCATTGCTTCCACCTTTGTAGCCAGGCCGCGTAGCCTTGAGCCGGTACGACTGGCTGTCCTGCTGAAGTTGGCGATTCGTTGGTCGATGCTTCAACAGCTGCGAACGTTCCGTACTGTACATCGCCGCCGATCACTGGGTAGACCATGTCAGCAGCTGATTTCTGACCCGGCACTACTGCTGGTGGAGGGGAGGTGGTGGTGGTGGCCGCGGCCTGAGCAGCGCGTTGCGCCGCGGCCATGTAGGCTGCCGCCCTCTGAGCTGCCGCCATCCTGGCCTGCCATTGCTGAAGGGCTGTCCTCTGGCCGACGGTCTCTGCTACAGATTTGCGAGCGGCGGCAGCCTTGGCTTCGGCAGCTCTTTTCGCCTCCTCCTGTTCCTGCTGAATTCTTTTGAGTTCGGCGGGGCACTGCGTACCGGGCAGGACGGTAGTACCTGACTTGCAGCAACTTTGCGTCTGAACATTGAAACTGCGCCGAATTCCCGTCATATTGCAACAACCAAACGTGGTGGACTCACGCTGTACTGTGTCACTACCACAGCAGTAGTGTGACTGGGGATCATACACCTTGTCAGTGCCACAGCAAGCCTGATTAGTGCTGGCACGACGGAAGACAGTCCCACCACAGCATTGCCATTGATCTTCACCACCTGGATAATCCTGAAGGCGACCGTTGCAGCAGACTTTACTGCGGAAGTCATACTTAGTCCGATCGTTACAACAGCGGTAGGACGATTTATCGATCGTTTCCCCTTCACAGCACAACTGGAATTGTGGATTGCCATTGACCACATTCCGTCTACAGCACATCTTCATCTCCCTAGTGACGTAGGTATTGTCTCCACAGCAAGTGTGCGTTAGAGGGCCGCCATCCGTTGTGACCTTACCTTCGCAGCATAGCTGGTCGACCAAAGTGAACGCATCTCCGGCACAGCAGCCTTCCGTGGCGTTATTGATCACTTCTCCGTTACAGCAGCGCGCCTGTGCGGGTGGAATGCCCAACGCAATAGGCAGCAGTTCGCCAGTGACACAGCATACATGTGTGAACCTATCGTACTGTACTCCTCGACAGGTCATGACCTGAGATGACGCCATCCCTGCCATCAACAAGAGAAGAAGCGTCGCCACGAAGAACGACTTCGATGACATTCTGTTGCGAGACATGTTGGACTGCTGCCTTGCTACCTTGTCAGTAAACTCACTTTTCTGTTCTGTCTTCGCAAGTGGAACATTGTTGCTCTATATACCATCGAGCTGCCCATTGGCGTTGCTGTTCGCGAGTACCTCAAGTAGCACGTTGGAGGCGAGATGTGTTTACCGTGCATGTTGCTACTTCGATGCCTCAGTGCTTAGCCTGGGCTTGGCGGCGTCCTGGGAGAAACAGCAGTAAGAGCAACAGGAGCAGCAGCAGCAGCAGCAGGTGTGTTGCGTATCGCAAGCACTATCTCTCGATGTCATCTTCGCTGATATGCATAAAGCAGCTTCGCCTCACCCAACCACTGGACCAGGCCCTACTCCAGGCGGATGACTATAGCCTAGTATAGGGTACTATACCTAACCGGAACACCTGCCGATAGTTGATGCCGAGCGGTAAGCAAAGAATGCGCCTTCGTGGCCGGTCTCAGCCCGCTATATGTATACTTAAGTACGGCTGTTAATATTCAGCGTCGTATTCAGCCTGCACACCACACACCTGCTGAAGCCTATTCCATCGGCTCGTAAAGATAAGGAACCCTGGTGCATGAATCATTCACGACCTGCAAGTGTACGAGCGATGCTCAACAGCAAGCACGACCAGGAGACATCTGTGGGATATTGGTCCTCCTCAAGTCTCTAGGAAAATAGATGGCTACGTCGAAATGCCATGAAAAGAAATGCATCAAGCCATCAACTAGGAGCATCAACACTGGTGGTCTTCTCGTGAACAACTGTGTGGAACTGGAATAAAGCTCAGCGCTGCACCTGTGTCGACTGAGCAAAGAGGTTTGGGCTGCACATGCTATAAGTTATCTCTCTTTATCCTCAGTGTTGGCATATCGACATTTCGCTAGCTGGCCAGATGGTCAGTTTTTGGGTGATTCATTTTGCTTTGTGTTCCAGGACAAGTCCTTATTCAAACAAGTCGTGACACCGTTTACGTTCATGGCAACAGACCACTCCTAGCAGCAGGACATGGCCTCCGTCCTCCTAGAGAAGTGCTGCTTACTATCCTGTACATAATTATACAGGCTGTGAATGTGAGCAAGTGTCTGGCACTTGCCAGATGCATAGTCCTATGGATAGCGGTGTGAGGAACTGTGGCGGACTGATGACATAGACATCTATGGGAGGGAAACTCAGATGACAGGCCGACAGCATAGCCAGATTACAATTTACAAATGTGTACGGTTACACAGATACACTATGCGCATTGAGCGCTCGGAACAGCAGTTTCACTTTGGCGGTGAGATGACCACTGCCACTGCGTCTGTGGCTTCCTTGACTCCTTACTTGAGTTTGGGTGCGATGGAATAGGAGATAGCTTCTGTAGCGTCACGCTCTGAATCTATTTGTGGCACTTGCACAAGCTTCCAAGACGACTAGTAGACCCAGGTGAACTAGCAAGGTTCAGAGTAACATTACATACCGGTATGATGTACGGCAACTGTGTGTGTTGCCTGAACATATACCTATTGGCGCAACTCAGCACGTGTACTTCAAAGTACCTACATGTACATGACATGTACAATGTGTGACACAACCTGCAATAGCAGGATGTACATGTACATCGTATAGTCAGTGGAGGTATACCCACTTGTAAGTGTCATGCCTGAGTGATGCCAACAGGCACATGTAGATGAGTAATGGTCGAAGGGGTTTATCAAGCCACACTACATTGTAATTAATAGACCAATACATAATACTATTATACAGCCTAGTACACGGCGGGTATTCTAGGTAGGTACTAGGCTGAGTGTAATTGACTGTACACATGTAGATCCACAACTCAAGGCGGGGCAAATTCTACAACCAAACCATCACCAAGGTTGTAACAATTACAGTAGAGGCAGCAAACACTGAAAGTGTGTGCACTCTAGCACTCACTACTCATTGTAGTGTCAGTTTATTAGGCTATGAACTGGAAACCTAGGCCAGCGCCTGGTCTGGCGACTCAGTGGCGAGTCTGACCTATTGTAGAGTATGATCGGCTGTTGTACTTGTAGGGTATGGTGGGGGGGGGGGGGGGGGTCTGGCAACCTCATCAACACTGCCACAACTCACTGGCACTGCACCTCCTACTCATCTACTCATCTACATGACGTTGTGTTAGTCTTTTATTCTTGTTCTTGCATCGTCTTGCTTCTTCTACTGCCCTACGAAGCCAGTACTGGGCGGTAGACTACTGGCATCGTAGCGCCGTGTGTAGGCAAACAATGAATACGGCGTGGTCTCCTCGGAGTCGAAGTCATGAGTCTCGTCACGAGTAAAAGATAAAATAAAAGTGCTTGGTTACTTCAAAAAAATATGCCAGCGGGCGTACTGAATCAGCCAGTGCCCATGTTAACCGCAACACACAACGAAGCATTATTGACATCCATCCAAGTCCTTTTTAGTTCATCACCCGTCAAAGACAAGTGAAGAAAGGGAGCGGTGATAAGGCCATGAGGACAGGCACTGCACTGGGTCAATGTCAATGATCAGATGATACCAACTGCAAACAGTACAGACAATGCTGCTCAAGGAAACTCGTGAGTAAGTGTAGTAGTTACTGTGGTATACCGGTAGCCGACGGAGCTCCGGAGGCACGAGGTCACCTGGTGTTCCTGTTGACTTCGATCAAGCCTGTCAAAGTTTAGCAGTCTGCAGAACCGATATTCACCTATCGACAGAGTATCGCGTCTACGTTCTTGTCCTTGGCCGACACTGCGGCAGCTGATCGATCGTCCACCTGTCATTTGACAAGCGTGACAAATCAATAGTATTTCAGTTCGCGAAAGGGTGATTTTGTTGCCCGTCCCGGATGGGCAAATACCTAAGAAGT